CCTTCCTTGACAGACATTTTGACTGTTGCCAGAAAGTATCTTTGATGTGTTCCTGTAAAGAATAACACAGACTTTCCTGTTTGTCTCAAAGCTACTGAACTGAACCTTCAACTGCAGAGGACAAAATGATCTGTATTTAAAAAAAAAAAATCAGCATACCACACACACACACACACACACACACACACACACACACACCCTTGTCATTATAAACGCAGACCTGGGCTCCCCAGGGCTCAGCTAGTTCCTCCCATTACCTCCTTGGTTGTTTTAGTATGGTTTTTCATCACGCTTTCCCCCATCTCTGCTATCTGTGTCTCGAAATAGCAACAGTAATTACCAAATTTCTCTTCCCCCCCTTTTCCACTGCTGGCTGAACTGGAGAGCCTCTGAGATTTCCCCACCAAACCTCTGAACCCATTGGAGGTTCGCACATCTGTCTTTCTAAGTCAGCAGAAGGGAAAACACAGGAAGACTGTGCCTTGAGCTATAACGAATCCTGGACAACCCCCAGCTTGTATCACTATCTCCTGAGGAAACTTCATAGAATCAGAGCCTGGAAGAGACCTCGAGAGATCAAAAGTCCTGAAAAACAAGGGTTCTAAGGAACTCAAGCTCACAGAATATTAAAAATGGAAAGAGCTATAGTCATTGCTGGCCTTCTATGTTTTTCTTATCCAAGTGAAATTACTTTCATTATTTTACCCTTTCCCTACTCACCCCACTTCCTGGCCGTTAAGTCCGTGTGTCTCCTTTTCTTTTTTTTTTTTTTCAAATCATCTTCTTGATTTTTGTTTTTCCTCACACTACCTGTGTTATTATTTACTTCATTTTTTCAAAGTTGATTTCAAATGGATTCATTTGTCTTCTTTACATTGGATTCAGCAATAATACTCACAAAACCATGGTTTTAATGTACCCGTTACACTTCAGTTGTATAATACACAGAAAATTAAAACCATAACTGTTAAAAAATGCGTGATTCTACCACCAAAAATTATCTTGCATGCAACTGTCTTATGCATCGCTTTTCCTATAAAGAGCCAAATAGTAAATATTTTAGGCTTTGAAGACTAAGAGACAATATCAAGGATATTATGTAGGTACTTAGGAAACGTAAGAGAAAACAAATTTCCACATTTTCCCCCTCCCCTAAATATTTAAAAATGTCAAAGTCATTCTAGCTCACAAATCCTACAAAAACAGTTGGTGGCTGAATCCGACTCATGGGTCATAACTTAGCAACCTCCTCACAATCACATATTTGATATTTATTTGAACCTTCTCTGAAATTCCCGTAACAGCGAGTGAGACACAGAAGAACTTATCTCATAGGACGGTTGTGAAAACCAAAAACAGGTGAAATACATTCAGTGCTTACTTAGCACACCACCTGGCACAAAGCAGTTACTCAATTAACATCAGTTGTGGTTTCTGTCCTTGTTATCACATCTTCTCTCTCAATGAGGTCAGTTGGTCACCAAGTGCCTTGTCTGGCACACAGTAGGCACTCAACAAATGTGTTATCATTTCAATTGGTTGGAACACTGCTTCTCAACGTTCTATGAAGCTCAGACTCAACCAGGAGGCTATTTTTAAAAACATATGCTGACTTCCACTTCTGGAAATCGTGATGCTAAAATTCATCCAAGAAAGAAGCTTAGCACTCGTGGGTTTTTTTGCCATTGTTGTTAAGTTCTAGGGGTGATTCTGATGATTCTAACCAGACACCTTGTAATAGTGCCTTAAAGGGCACTGAATCTGGACAACAGAGTCAGAAACTCCAATCCCTAAGGGGGCCCATCTTCTCTGCCTTATTTTGTGGCCACATACAACACAGCTGGTGCTCAGCGCCCTTTGGAAAGTCCTAATTCCATCTGTTAGTCAGTCAACAACTGGGGTTAATTGAGCACCTATGATGTGCCAGATCTCAAGCTAATTGCTGGGGATACAGCAGTGAAGGAGGCAAAGGCCTATAATACAAGAGCCCCTTCTCATCTACCCTTTCCCAGGCTTGATTTTTCTATTTAGACCTTATACACAATGGTGCATCTTAAACGTATGGTGGCTCTGCCCCATGAGAGGAGGGACCTGATACACTGTATTCACTGTATCTTCCAGCCTAGGACAGTGCTTACACACAGGCTTGTCCAATAAAGATTTATTCGAACAGGCAGAACAGGGAACTTGGCACCTCTTAGAGCGCCACGCCGATGGCCAACCCAAGACAGGGCATGCCATCAGACTCCTTGGTGCTGGAGTTGAAGGTGGAGTATATTTTCCTGTCCTGCTACCTCCTGGCTGTTTAATCTGAAATCACTGCTTTAAGCCACAGTTCATCCATTTATTCATTCATACAATTGGTAAGATGTATTAAGTAGGATGATGCTCAATATGTGGATGATGTTTAACAAGTAGCAATTCTCTTGCTTCATCGCCTGGAAATGACTCAACAGAAGGCAGTTCTAGAATGTTCTGACAATTCCCAGGAGATAGACTGAGTAGCAAGTCACATGCCTCTCATAGTCCTCAAGAGAATATGCCGGGGAAGGTGCATCTGCTTAGTGGACAAGTACTTTTTGAGCTTCTGGATGCAGTGATGGGGCCTCAGAACACCGGGATGATACAGCCAGGCCTCTGCCTTCACGGAACTTACTGTCTCGGACTGGGGGTGGGGAGCACGGAGAGATGCAGGAGAATCAAGGAAGCCAAGAATGAGAAAATGTCAATGCTGAAAAGAACAAAGCAGAGGTGCATGGTACTTTCTGGCCAATACTGGGGGCAGGGCGGGGGGGGGGGGAGCTTGATATCATCTAAGGCATCAACGTTTCCCTGAGCAGGTGATACTCCGATCGAGACCTGAACTACGGGAGGTGTTGGCTGAACTGAGCAGAGGGAAGAGCTGGGCAGCAAGTAGAACAGGAGGAATCCAGAGCACGGGGGAGCACGGGGGGGCATCGAGGAGCA